TCACAAGGAATTAGAGAGACTACAAGCACAACAATGGATGCCTTATCTGAAATTTATCAACTTTAACTAAAATTATGAAAATAACCAACTATCCATGAAAGAATGCATGTTATGGTTCATAAAACAATGTCAAACAGCAAATAACAAAAATTTAAATGCGAAAATATTAATTTTTTTAATACGAATAAGTCTAACGAGCATTTCATCAAATACCAAGTATTCGAGTTCGAATTCGAAAAACTAGATATATGAATATTATAGTCTGCATTCGAATTCGATAATTTTAAACAAATACAAATATGAACACCTTAGTATTCGATTCGATTCGATTTACCACTCCTAATCTGCTCTAGATCCTAATCCCAGATCAATCCTAATCCCATGTTCAAGTAAACATGAAATTAACTCCTAATAATAGGATTATTAATCCCAATCTTAATCCCAGGGAAAGTAATCCCAGGGAAAGTAATCTTAATCCCAATCTATAAATTAACATGATAAATTTATAGAACCGCATGCCTGAATCATGGAGGATCACTTTACTTCCTCATCAGCTGGTAACAAAAATTTAGCATATCATTATAAAATTAATGTGGTTCCCGAATCAAAGCTATTAAGAAGTCTTCAACCTTAGCAGTTGACATTGAATGTGATTTCACCAATAAGCAACTTGAAGACTTATGCATATTGCTGTGATCTTGCTTGTTCTTGGAAAGCTTTTGGCTCTCTGTCAATCAATTCTTCTTGGAAATATTTTGGCTTATCAATGTAAGTTTTTAGCTAACATTTTAAGGGTAGGCATCATTTGGAATAGGGCTGTCCATCCGGACCGGCCCGGCCCGGCCCGGAAAACCGGGCCCGGGCCGGGCAAAACCCAAGCCCGGACCCGGGCCCGGGTGGTCCGGGCCGGGCCCGGGCTTTTTTTTTTTAAATTTTGTTTTTTTTTATTTTTTTAAATTTTAACAAAACCATAAATTATAAATTATTATAAAAAATGTCATAAATTTTATTAATAACTTGAAATGAAATGACATAAATTACAAGTACAAAAAATGATAAAAATAACTTCTTTATTAATAATCGGTAAATCCTTTACAAGTATAAATTTATTTCGAAATTCGTCGCATCACAATAGATGAGTACATCCCAACTAGGTTGGCACCTACTCACCCATATCACTATCATTTGCAACTTTTTTCGAAATAATTTAATTCAAATTTAAAGCTAAGAAATAAAAATTACAATTTTATGAATATTATCTAATCATTATATCTATCTGCTAGTCCCAACTCTTCAAATTTATCTTCAATCATAGCAATCCGTTCGATGCCTTGTGTTCGCTTCTCGTATCTCCACCAATCCTGTAAGCACATCACCGCTTGTACAGTATACGGATCTAAGCATGTCCTGTGGTCGTCGATCAAACGTCCTGCTGTGCTGAAAGCGGATTCCGAGGCTACAGTCGAAACCTGCACTGATAGTAAGTCACGAACCATGGTGGAAAGTATAGGATATGAAACTGATCCATATACTTTCCACCATTGCAAAATATCTAAAGCATTTCCTTGACATTTAACTAAGGAAGCAGATAAATATTCGTCTATTTCAGAAACCTCTAATCCTGATGAAGTTCCAGATCCACCAGTTAGTTCAGCTACCATTGCATACCTATCAAAACTTACACTTTTACCTCGACCTGTGCTCGAAGCTGAAGGTGCCGAAGCTGAAGACTGTTGTGTAGCTACACCATATCTAGCTGCATACTCATCATATAAGGTTTGAAAATAATTTCTAATAGCTACATAATGAGTAGTAGCAGTAAGGGTGGATCCATCATCTAAGTCTATAATCTGTCCACCATACAATGATTGTAACAAACTTCGAAGGCCAATTTCCTTCAAGCATGGATCAATAAGAACACCAATACCAAAAATATGAGGAATAGGCCTAAAATACTTATTAAATTTACTCTCCATTTGAAAAATTATATTTCCAAAAGTATCATCCATACGATATTTTGCAAAAAATTTTTGAATATTTAAAATTTGTAAAGCAGCTAAAGTAATAGTTGGATAATAACAACCAGATAATAACATAGTAGCATCATAAAAAACTTGTAACATCTCATTTAATTTACATATAACTGTCCATTCATCTTCAGTTATTCCATAAGCACTACCAGAGCTAGAACTAGAAGCATAAAAATTTATAAAATCATTTATAATTTCTTTATATTCTATTGCTACAGATAACATTGCATAGGTGGAATTCCACCTATGGTCAACATCTTTTGGAATTAGTCTAGGCTTATAATTTTTTCTTTTACAACATTGTTTCCATCTTTTAATTCTCATTTCAGAAGCATTATGCATATTAGTAACTGTTCTAACTTTTTCTATCATGGGTTTAATTTCAGAAAATGCACTTTGAACAATTAAATTTAAAATATGACAGATACATCTAACATGAAAAAGCTCACCATGACATGGCAATGACAAAGTTATTTTCAGAAAATCAACAGCTACATTATTATTACTTGCATTATCTAGTGAAAGAGTAAATATTCTTTGATCAATTTCTAGTTTCATAAGTTCTTCAACAATTAAATTTGCAACATTAATACCAGTGTGTGACTCTTCAATTGCAATAAAAGAAACAACTCTTTTAAACATTTTCCAACTTTCATCAATCCAGTATGCTGTTATACATAAATAACCAGTTTGCACTCTAGATGACCAAATATCAGAAGTTAAAGAAAATTTACGGTTTAAATTTTTAAAATAAGAAATTATTTTTCCCTGTTCCTCAACATAATATTTTAAAATATCACGTTGACAGGTTTGACGAGAAAATTTTGTAAATGCAGGATAAAAACCATCTCTAAACATATCTTCAAATTCATCATCTTCTACTAATTTAAAAGGAAGGTTTTTAAGAACAATAAACCTGATTACGCATTTCCGGGCTCGGGCAGCGTCATAATTCCAACTGCCGAGGGTACCTGAAGAGGATGATTGGGAAAGCATAGACTGCCGGATATCACCTTGTAGATTTTGGCCTTTGTTGTGTTTTTCAATATGCCGTTTGAGATGGTTGGTGCCGCTCTTATGATGAGCTTTGAATATCTGGCCGCACAACGCACACTTCGCAGTCTGAGAGATGATCCTACCGTGTTCATCCTTGGTGACGTCTATCTTCTCAAAAAAATTCAATACATCAGACCTCAGCCTTTTTGGAGCTCTTGGTGTCGTAGATTCGTCGCCACCAGATTCAGGATTAACACCGGTAGGATGAGGAGGAGTTGTTGTAGGAGGACTCATCTCTGGATCGGTAGGAGTTGCATGTTGCTCTTCATAATCAGACCCAGAAGCCATTTGTTGGAAGTATTAGAAAATACAAAAGATTATAGGATAGTATATTAGTATGAGATAGTATAAGATTGTATAAGAGAGTAGTAGAGAGAGAAATAGATGAGTTTTGTTGTGAGAAAATGAATTGAAACCCCCCCTCTATTTATAGAAGCAGCCCCCTAGGTAAATGACCAAAAAACCCTCGAAAAATAGCCGTTTTTTGACCGTTTTAAGGGGCAAAACGGTCAAAAGACCAAATCTGGCCGTTAGGCCAGATTTGGCCCGGGGTGGCGCGGCGCACCCGGCCCGGCCGCCAGCCCGTCCCACGGCCCGGCCAGCCCGGGGCCCGGCCCGGCCATAAAGGTCACAAATGTGACCGTTTGGCCCGGGCGGGCCGGGTTAGCCCGGCCGGCCGGCCAAACGGTACTTTGTGTGACCGTTCGGCCGGACCAGCGGCGCGCTGGCCCGGCCCCGGACCCGGGCGCAACGGTCACCTTTTGTGACGCGCTTCGCCCGGCCGGACCGGGGTCAACGCATCGTTTGTGACCAGTTATGGCCGGGTCGGGCCGGCCCCGGCCATTCGAAGCCACAGTCCGCTTTTTTCGGGCACTGTTTCTGGCCAGGGCCGGGCCGCGACGTGGCTCGCCAACGAGCGACCGGGCCCGGACCCGGGTTTTGCCCGGGTTTCCGGGCCCGGGCCGGGCCCGGGCCCGGGCACGACCGGGCCGGACACCGGGCCGGGCCCGGGCTCCGGGCTTTTTGGACACCCCTAATTTGGAATAAAGGAAAGGATGCGTTTTTCTCGTTGTTTAATTTTATGACTACAAATAAGAGTTTATTAATTGTAGATAGACCCCTTGTAGTCTTAACCTTACTCCTCTACTTTTATTGTTGAGTGACGTGTTTCGATTATTTTACTTTGATAAATAGGTTCCCAAGCGTGAGAAAGGCTAAACTTCTAGGAAAACCCCCTTAACTTTCGACAATAATCAGATGACTTCTTATACTTTTCAAAATATCAGAAAACACCCTTTAAGTAATTAAGGTTAGGTTTTCTCTCAAAAAAAAAAGTAATTAAGGTTACGGGTTACCAAAACAGCTTCAAATTTCAACATTTTTCATAAAATTCTTTTAAAAGTCCAAACCATAGTCTTCACTGGTGAAAAATCGCCCTGTGTAATTTTCCTACCCATGTGAAAATTTTGCTTAACACGATCACAGGGGTTTTTATTGAATAAAGTTTATAGTTGAAGAAGGTTTTAAGATAACCCTGAAAGTGAGAGAGGTCTATTATTTTTTTTTATTTTTTTATTTTTTTTTGAGGGGGATATGATATCTGATGATCGTCCAAAGTTAGGGGTGGATTTCTGAAGTTTAACCTTGAAAAGATGCAAGCCAAACGGAACCCGCCGCTAAAACAAATCCCAGCCCATTTATAGAGTAACGCTCAAAGATAACTTAGGCTCGGGCCCAATTTGTACAAAAATGAAACCAAGCCCAGCCCATTTATTCTCCCAACGAACTCTCGTGCCGGCACACGGCTCAACTCCCTCTCGTGAGCTCACCGTGTTTATCTAGACATAGGGGTAATGTCGTCAATCCACCACAAAAGCTCAACCGGACAGACCAAAAGCTGACTCCATCGACATCTACAACAACAAAAAGCAGCTGATGATTCCGTAATTGCCCCCCTCTCACCTGCCCATTTCTCTCGCTCCCTGTCTTGGTCTCTCTCGCTCCCAAATTTGCTTCTGGAGAGCTCGATCCATGGCTTCGAGAGCTGCGATTTTGAGAGGGGTCATGAAAAGGAGGTATCTTGCTGCTTCTGGAGCTCGATCCATGGCGACGTCTTGGTGGTCCAAGGTGGAGGCAGCTCCGAAGGATCCGATCCTTGGAGTTACCGAGGCTTTTCTTGCGGATCCTAGCCCTGATAAAGTTAATGTTGGAGTTGTAAGTTCACTTGCCATTTCTGCAAGGTTTTCTTATCGTAGACATTAGTATTTGATGCCAGAAACTGACCTCAAATGGGTAGTAGTATGGATGCCTGTCTTTTTGTCGTACTAAATTATTTTTAAACCCATGTTCAATGTTTGATTGATTAGTTGCAAAACATAGGTAATTTTGTTGCAAGAAATGATAGATTTTTATTGCAAGTCAAGTGTTTGTTTCTCTATATTTGTAAAATGATCTTTATGTTTTGATTTGAAGTGGACTGACTTGCTGGTGTGACATTATTTTTCAGTTTTTTTCTGATAAGAGGACTTGCTGCTTTTTTGCAGCCGAATTAACTGTAACAAATATAGTATTTTTTTAATTAAAAAAATCAGCTAAATTGATTACGGGACATTAGTCTTTCAAGTTAATAATAGGAATACATCAAAGGATTGCATTCTTTTTAAAATAAATTGTAAACTCAATTACCATTCCCGACTTTCTTGTTGCTGACCAAAGGTTGGAAGTAGAAATTTGAGTGTAGCATTTGTTGCGGCTCTATTTCCTGTCAACCAAACAACCCCTTAATGCTATTTCTATTTGCCACACCATTGGATCTTCATTCTTTTAATTATGTTTATTTTTTCACTTTCATTTATTTGTACATTTTTTTATTTTCTTTTTTGTTAGGGAGCTTATCGTGATGATAATGGGAAGCCGGTGGTTCTTGATTGTGTTAGGGAAGCTGAAAGGAGAGTTGCTGGAAATCTCAACATGTAAACTAATCGCTAAACTTCGTACTTTGGTTATCTTGTACTTTTTTCCCTTGTGTTATTTATCATATTTCTTCTGTATATTTCTGATAAAGGTGCTTGATTTAGTAATTTTTTTGCTGGTTATTATTATCTGATTAATATCATATATGGGTGATTTTGCTTTAGCTAGCATCACAATCCTGTCAATTCTTGCTAGTGTCAACATGTCCATGCTTTTGGTCCCGTAGAATCCACTTTTTGAGCATTGCATTTTTGCTACTTGACATGTATGACCATTGCGGAATTTATTCTTTCTATCTTCTGACGTTTGCGCAAAGGCGTTTATGTGTTACCTTTTCTGGCTAAAACTTGAATATGAATTACAATAAAAGTATCTTATAAGTTTCCATGATGCCTAACATAGAGAACTACTGTTTAATTGATCCTGGCTTTGATCTTTTGATTTGAAAAGAAAATTATACTCTGCCTGTCCAGTGGCTTCAAGCCCATTCATTATATGCTATGCATTGCTGCAAGCCCATTCGTTATTAGCCTGATAATCATGAAAAAAAATAATTATACATATCCCTTCTAACCGTCATACTAATCAACTTATGTGGAAGACCAGTTCTAGTAATTTATTATAAAAAATTATACTCAGATGGAAGGCTAAGATATTGTTAGGCGATTAAATTGCTCATAGAGATAAATCATTAGAAGGCACTTAATTCTGGTAAAAGCTGTAACCCAGCAAACCATAACAAACAAATTATGCATATGATATGTCGATGTTATTGTGGGGGAAGATATGAAGGTTGAGTATTTTTTTTCCTGACTTATGTGCCATGAGAATGTCCTCACCTGATGTCATGACCTGAGATCAAAAGTTGAAACTTGAAGGTGCAACCTTGGTTTAGATCTAAGGAACAGAAGCTGTGTACATTTGTGTTAAATGTAAATTCTTTGAAATTTGTGATCCAGGGAATATTTGCCAATGGGTGGTAGCATGCACATGGTTGAGGAATCTCTGAAGCTAGCATATGGGGAGAATTCTGAGTTCATAAAAGATAAACATATTGCAGCAGTGCAAACTCTTTCAGGAACTGGTGCATGCCGGCTTTTTGCTGACTTTCAGAAACGGTTTTTACCTGACTCTCAAATTTATATACCTGTACCGACCTGGGCCAAGTAAGTTATGCTTCTTATTATTAAGTTCCATTAATGTGCTCTACATATTCGTTTATGATCCCTGACCTCTATCAATCTGTATTTCCCTTAACTTAGTCGCTACATTCATATGTATAACTTTTTCATGGTCTTTCCCAAAATAAGAAACATTAATTAACTATGTATTTTTTATAGTCATCATAACATCTGGAGAGATGCACATGTTCCACAGAGGACCTTCCACTACTACCATCCTGAAACAAAGGGACTAGACTTTGCAGCACTGATTGATGATGTTAAGGTATGCTCACCTAAAGTAATTTAGTAGTCAATCTTGAATCATAATACAGTATCGACCACTGCTAATAATAATTAAATTATCTCTAAGAAATCTTCTGAATGTTCAAGAACTTCTTATTGTGAAAGACCGTCCACTACTTATATAATATTTGGTCAAAGAATTTATGAGCACCTACTTGAGACTTCATGTGATCAAACTTCCCTTATTGGGACTAATAAGTTCATTGGAATTTGTTTCATGTCATAGTTATCAATTGATTCCTTGTTGATCCATCCTCAGTGGGTGGAGAGTTTGTATTTTGTGTAGTTTCCTTACTAGATAAGTTTTGGTTTGTTTGTAGAATGCACCCAATGGTTCGTTCTTTTTGCTTCATGCATGCGCCCATAATCCTACTGGAGTCGATCCTTCCGAAGAACAATGGAGGGAGATATCATACCAGTTCAAGGTAAAGTAAACGGAGTTACACTTGATTTTTGGAGTAAGTTTTCTTTATCTAGTCAGCTAAGCTTTGTGTTAATTTATGTTATTTGTGGCTAATTAGGTTAAGAATCATTTCCCATTCTTTGACATGGCATACCAAGGCTTTGCCAGTGGGGATCCTGAAAAAGATGCAAAAGCTATTCGTATTTTTCTCGAAGATGGACACATGATAGGATGTGCACAATCATATGCCAAAAATATGGGGCTCTATGGACAAAGAGTTGGATGCCTCAGGTGCGTATTTCTCCCATTATGGAAGCTTCTTTCAGAAAATATATTGTTCGCGTAATTCTTACCTCTGGTTTTCTTCAAGATCTTCTATTCTAGTAGATGCTCAGTTGTATCTCTGATGTTCAAACGTTAGGCCTTCTTTTCTTGCTGGAAGCAAATGCATGCCATAATATTCACTGGATGCATGAGTTTATCAATCTTAAACAACATTGTATGCTGAGATCTAAATCTTTTTGCAGTGTTCTTTGTGAAGATGAAAAGCAAGCAGTAGCAGTGAAGAGTCAGCTGCAACAGATTGCTAGGCCAATGTATAGTAATCCACCTGTTCATGGTGCTCTCATTGTCTCAATAATCCTTAGTGATCCGGAGCTAAAGAGTTTATGGTTGAAGGAAGTGAAGGTACCCATTCCACATTTTTGGTCATTTGTTTACTTAGGGCCTGTTTGGTTGGTTTGCTATAATCATAGGAAACATGTCTCCAGCATAAAAATCCCTTTCCATAGGTTTTTTTCTTTTTGTTATTTTATTGGAATAATGAGTAACTTGTTTGGTTAGCCTAAAAGTAAGGAAGGAAATGGGTTTCCTAACCAATCTAGTGCAACTCCTTTTCTTTCATCTGGATGGAAGAACTCAATAATGGGAAAATTGAATCCCATCTGCATGGTGAGGATACCATCCAAATAGGACAAAATTAGGGAGAAGTAGAGGTAAGCATACCTAATGTTGAAATCATCAACAGCCAAATAATTCCGATGGCTCTTTAGTGCTGTTAATAAAAATGCTCCCATCAATCAAGTATTATTCCCAACAAAGAAACAATGAGACAGAAAATGGCACCATATAAGTTGTGTCAATAGGAAACCATATTCACAACAACAGATGGATTCAAACAGCTTTGAAAGATCTCTCATTACAAACAGTATACTTGCATCAAATTTTCATAACTACCAACCCACACAAGGTAAAACTTAAAAGCAAATATTACTAAAAAAGATAAAAAAAAGAAAAAAAAGAAAAAAGAAGAAGAAAAATAAAACAGACACCAAAAGAGGGACTAAATATCGAACAGAATCTATATGACAAAATAACAATGCTTACACAATACATGAACATCCACTTTACCATGCACAAACATCCTCAAAATGCATAGACTAATTAGCTACCAATAATTCAAATTGTTCCCTCATTCATAGGATTCTTTATACTTCCATCAAACAAAGGCATAAAACCATCATCATGAACACAACAAAAAATAAATGAACAAGAAATGTAATAAACATGTGAACTTAATCACATAGATCAACAAAGGAAGGTAATAAAAAAAATATTTCCTTCATCGTGCTTCAGCAGTGCTCTAAAGCAGCTCAGTGGTAACTTTCAGATAGATCAAACCCTATCAGATAGATTGATCCCCAGTCAGTTGGATCTAGGGGGGATTCAACAATCAAGGAAGCAAAGCAGAAGATCAACCTCCAAAATAACCCAAGTAAACTGCCCATGAGCTCCTACAATCAGATTATCAAGATTTACTATAGCTGAAGTAGATCAACCACTGGATGACCTCTAGGATTTTTTCTACAACAGCAACAGAGGCTTGAAAGTACATGAGGGAATAATTATGTGGGAACAAGAGAACGCTTAGTGAAATCTCCACCAAAATTTCCTCAATTAGAGCTAGCTTATTATTATTATTATTATTATTATTATTATTATTATTATTATTATTATTATTATAATGAAGAGAGGGGGGTGGAGGCACCAGATAAAAGAGGGAGGTAGACGGAGAGAGCGGTAAGAATAGCCCCTAACCATCCCCAAATAATTGCGGTTTATTACATTTCCGATCCATTTCTGACATTAGAGCTCGGAAATGGGCTTTTCTCCTTTGTTGAGGTGGAACGGGTTTTCAGCTCCTCTTTTTTTTGGGGTTGAACCAAACACGAGAAGAGAGAACTTTTGGACCTTTATTTCCTGCCGTCAATATGTCAGAACTAGGAAACCCTTTTCGGTTTTTTTGGCCAACCAAACAGCCCCTTATTTTAAAAATCGATGGACATAATTTTCCCTTGGGACTGGTGCTTCTGGAGATTCTTTCTGATTATATATCTATAGAGTAATGAAAAGCTGTCCATATTTCAGGGAATGGCTGATCGCATCATCGGAATGCGAAATGCTCTCCGTGAGAACCTTGAGAAGTTGGGTTCACCTCTATCCTGGGAGCATATAACTAATCAGGTCAGTGTTACTGTAGCTTTGTAACCCAATGGGCATTAAGTTAGTTCATATGTCATTGACTCACCGTGCATTACTGAGTATGTGAGCGTATAACGGTAATTGTGCATTCTTATTATTTTCTGCATCATTCCTCTCTTCTTCTAACAAGCAGATTATTTGCAAAGTTCATATGTCATTGACTCACCGTGCATTACTGAGAATGTGAGCGTATAACAGAAATTGTGCATTCTTATTATTTTCTGCATCATCACTCTCTTCTTCTAACGAGCAGATTATTTGCAAATTTGTGATCTATAAGCAGATTGGGATGTTTTGCTACAGTGGAATGACCCCTGAGCAGGTTGATCGCTTGACTAATGAGTTTCATATTTATATGACTCGTAATGGTCGTATCAGGTACTAGATCTTATAAATTTCTTGATGACGTCATATTTTAGTGCATCCTTTTTACAAACTACATTTTAATTAACGTAATTGTTGATTCTACAGCATGGCGGGTGTCACAACAGGAAATGTTGGCTACTTGGCAAATGCCTTCCATGAGGTTACAAAATCTACATGAGGATTGACGTATTTTTTTAAAGATATAGGTTCAAAGAGAGGGGATTGGGAAATAAGTCACTTCAGCTTTGACAACCCTGAGGCATTTTAACTTAGCATGAGGTTTTTGGAGTCGGCGTAATCATTGGAATCATTGCTCTGAAGAATAAGTAACAATGAATCATTGCTCTGAAGAATAAGTAATCAGTTACGAGTCTTCCTTCAGCTGAATCACCTGCAAATCGAGGCATTGAAATAAAGTCTTTGCTTATATTTGTTCTTGGCATGTTTGTACTTGTTCCAGTTTCATGGGATATACGTCATGCATGTACAACATTACAACTAAGTTTGGATGTATGAAAAAAAGAAACAAAATGCAGAGTCCTCGAAATGTTTGAAACGCATTGCAGATTTCTTTGGCTTATTCCCAGAGTGGGTATCGCTTGTATTGCAAACGGTGTTGGCTTCTCTTACAACTTAAATCACCTTATTTGGTACAGTTTGACTTATTCCCAGAGTGGGCATCGCTTGTATTGCGAATGGTGTCCGCTTCTCTTACAACTTAATCACCTAATTCCCAGAGTGGGTATGGCTTGTATTGCGACCGATGTCAGCTTCTCTTACAGCTTAATCACCTAATTCCCAGAGTGGGTATCGCTTGTATTGCGAACGGTGTCAGCTTCTCTTATAACAAAAGGTGCGCGTCAAAGGATATGTCGGTTACACCCTGTGGTTCATAGTTCTGTGATCCATATCAAAATTGCAATTAGCTTTTGTTTGTTTCTTATGTTCAGGCTGTGGCACTGCAATAAGCTTCTGTTTGTTTCTTTTGTTCACTGTTTGGCTGTCTCTGTGATCTGTGAATGTGAAAGGGATAGCGTGTCTATATAAATCCAGTCAAGTGCTGAATCCTACGTGAACTAAAACCTGAAGGGCTTCTGAAACCAACGAGCTCCTTGTTCTTAGAAAATGTTTCTCTAAATTAGCGTGTAATGGATTCCTGTAGGCGGCTCTCACCTCATTTGTTCATTCAAGAAAGTCAACACCCTGAACATTCTCTCCCACTCAGGATGCTGCGCTCTCTCCTTTGCAACAAAACAATGGAACCTGTTATCCACCTCAATCCAGCTACTCCCTGCACCTTTCTTCACTCCCTTCTCCTTCATCATCTCCCTCATCCCTTCCACCTCCTCCCACTTCCCACAACCCGCAAACATATTCGATAACAACACATAATATCCCGAATTATCGGTTCCAGTCTCAAGTATCCTTGCACCCGAATAAAATCCAATCTCTGTATCTGAATGCATTTTGCTCGCTCCAAGAATCACTCCCCAAATCTCATCACTTGCCTTTATCGGCATTGTCCTCACCAATTCTACCGCTTGTTGTATTCTCCCAGATCGAGCTAACAAGTCTACAATACAAGTGTAGTGTGCTTGTCTCGGAGCAATTTTAAAATTTTTCATGCTATTGAAGATCTTGATACCATCTTCAATGAGCCCACCATGGCTACAAGCTGATAATGCAGCAATGAAGCTCACATCATCGGGCTCCTGTAACATGTAGAATAGCTCAAGAGCATTTTCACTGAGTCCATGGATAGCATAACCTCCTATCATTGAATTCCAAGTTACGACATTCCGGTCTTTCATCAAATCGAAAACTCTTCTTGAGTAAGCAATTCTTCCACATTTTGCATACATGTCGATGAGAGCACTGCCAGCACAGGAATGGTTATCCAACGACTTCTTCAACGCCCATGAGTGAAGTTCTTTGCCTAAACAGAGTCCAGAAATTCCTGCACAAGCTGAAAGCACACTCGTTATCGTAATAGGGTTTGGTTCAATCTCAGCTCGAATCATTTCCCGATAAGTGTTGATGGCATCTACAAAATAATGGTTATGTGTGTATCCTGCTACCATTGAACTACAAGATATCACATCTCTGTCCAAAATTGCCTTGAAAACTCTCTCAGCATTTTGAACAAGACCACAATCGCAATAGACTGAAACGAGGGCATTTCGAACTCTTCTGTCAAATTCAAGCCCGTGCCTGTACGAATAGGCATGGATTTGTTTGCAGAAGTCTAAGCACAAAACACCAGAAATTGACGGGAGAACACTAGCGATGGCTATAACATCTGGCTTCAGGCCTTCACTCAACAATTCCTTGAACACTTTCATCGCTTCATTCGAAAGATTATTCTGAGACAATGAAGAAATGATCCCGCTATAAGTAACAACATCCACATTCAATCCAGAGACCTGCATGTCTCTAAGAAGATCAATACTTTCATCGAACAATCCATTCTGAGCATAGCAAGATATCATCGCATTCCAAGAAACTCTATCTTTTTCATTCAAACTATCAAATATTCTACCAGCCTCATTAACCCGATCACACTTCCCATAAGCGCTAATGAGTGCATTCTTGATTATTTTAATAGACTCATGCCCTTGTCTCAAGATATAGCAATGCACTTCTCTAACAATATCCTCATCGATAGAACTGATCTTAAGCAAACTAACAATGGTAGCCTCATCGGGCATAAACCCATTCCTGACCATCTCACGAGCTTTCTTCATTGCCTCCAAATCAAGCCCATTACAAGAAAACCCCGAAAGAATCGAATTCCATGACACAACATCTCTGTGAGGCATTTTATCAAACACCTGGACGCCACTCTCCAAACTCCCACATTTCGCATACATTGAAATCAAAGAGTTACAAACAAACACATCCGATCCAAAGCCACATCCAATTGCCATCTGATGAAGGCATTTCCCTTTCCAGAGGTCTGAAATGCAAGCACAGGCCTTGATGACACATGAGAATGTGTAGCTATCGGGTTCGAGGCCTCGTTTTCGTTCAATGGAGAACAAGTTGATGGATTCTTGATTGAACCCATTTGAGGAAAGGGCTCGGAGCATTGAATTGAGGATGAAGATGTTGGGGGGTTGGAAGTGGGTGAATACTTTCTGAGCTGAAGGGATGTTTTGGAGTTGGGAGTAGAGAGTGATGAGCTTTGTGGAGAGGAGCGAGTCATTGTGGAGGCCTGAGGTGATGATTATGGAGTGGAGTTTTGGGGTGAGGCTGAGAGGTATTTTGTGGGTGATTAAGGATTCAAGAAGTTGGAGATGGTTTGCGCTGATCTTTGAAGGCATGGGAGATTTATGAATTTGTTAATGTCATGAAGAGGATTTTTCGTTTCGTTTCGTTTTGTTTTGTTTTTTAATTCTTTTTTCCTTTAAAATCATGAGCTGATTCTTTCTCCATAGTTTGAGATTGTAGAAGAAGGGAGATTATGCAACTTTCAAAACATTCAAAAGAGAGTTTTTTGTTCCTTCTTTTTTCTTTTTTCTTTTTAAACCCAGATGTTAGACCCTTAATTTATTAGTATTTCGCATTAGTCCCCCACATCTTCATAATTTGATATTCTGCCCCAGAATTACATTAATATGTTGATATTATTTTCCATGTATTATTGTCAAAACTATGGTTGTTTCATTTCTTTTAATCATTTTCTTTAATAGTCAGTTATGTCCCTCAGTTAACGAAACCCTGAGCTGGTGAGAGCTTTCCAAATACGCATCCGTTCAAAGAATGTCTAAACACATTTCACTTCTCTTCTTCCCTCAAACTCCAATAAGTGAGGGTGGTTTTGTTAATCCCTCATCCATGTTAGTGTTAAACTAACTATGATTGAGAGTTTTAACCGGTAACCCTAACATAAAGACTAATCTCAGCATATTAAGGTAATTTTGGGGATTAAGTACCAAATTATGAACATATCATGGGCTAATACAAAATATTAATGATCTAATATCTAAAAACCCCTCAAACAAATACCAAGCGAGCCTGGGTAAATTTCAGGAAACCCCTTTGAATTTTGTGTGTGATCGTGAACTTTAAAAATTAGAAGAAAACCCCCAAAGCTATGTGGCATTTTATAAAACTGAAAAGTTGCACACACTTGATACTATTAAAATAGTAATAATAATAACCATTGATCTCTGTAAAACCCTAAGCAAAACTGCCTTTCTATATATATTTTTTCTGGTTTATCTCTTTTCTCTCTTCAGTTCTAGAATGAAATTTGTCACGCATTGCATACCTATCAAAACTTACACTTTTACCTCGACCTGTGCTCGAAGCCGAAGGCGCTGAAGCTGTAGACTGTTGTGCAGCTACATCATGTCTAGCTGCATACTCATCATATAATGTTTGAAAATAATTTCTAATAGATAAATGATGAGAAGTAGCAGTAAGGGTGGAATCACCATTTAAGTCTATAATCTATCCACCATACAATGACTGTAGAAGCTGTAGACTGTTGTGCAGCTACATCATGTCTAGCTGCATACTCATCATATAATGTTTGAAAATAATTTCTAATAGATAAATGATGAGAAGTAGCAGTAAGGGTGGAACCATCATCTAAGTCTATAATCTGTCCACCATACAATGACTGTAACAAACTTCGAAAACCAATATCCTTCAAACATGGATCAATAACCCCCAAACCAAAAATATGAGGAATAGAGTTAAAATACTTATTAAATTTGCTCTCCATTTGAAAAATTATATTTCCAAAAATATCACTCATACGATATTTGGCAAAAAAAATTTGAATATTTAAAATTTGTAAAGCAGCTAAAGTAATAGTTGGATAATAACAACCAAATAATAACATAGTAGCATCATAAAAAACTTGTAACATCTCATTTAATTTACATATAATTGTCCATTCATCTTCACTTATTCCATAAGTGCTACCAGAGCTAGAACTAGAAGCATAAAAATTTATAAAATCATTTATAATTTCTTTATATTCTATTGCTACACTTAACATTACATATGTGGAATTCCACCTATGGTCAACATCTTTTGGAATTAGTCTAGGCTTATAATTTTTTCTTTTACAACATTGTTTCCATCTTTTAATTTTCATTTCAGAAGCATTATGCATATTAGCAACTGTTCTAACCTTTTCTATCATGGGTTTAATTTTATTTTCAGAAGCATTATGCATATTAGCAACTGTTCTAACCTTTTCTATCATGGGTTTAATTTTAGAAAATATACTTTAAACAATTAAATTTAAAATATGGTAGATACACCTAACATGAAAAAGGTCACCATGACATGGCAATGACAGAGTTGTTTTAATAAAAGCAACAGCTACATTGTTATTACTTGTATTATCTAGTAAAAGAAAAAAATATTATTTGATCAATATCTAGTTTCATAAGTTCTTCAATTATTAAATTTGTAATATTAATATCAGTGTGTGACTCTTCAATTGCAATAAAAGAAATAACTCTTTTAAACATTTACCAATTTTCATCAATCCAGTGTGTTGTGATACATAAATAATCAGTTTGTACTCTAGATGTCCAAATATCAGAAGTTAAAGAAAATTTACAGTTTAAATTTTTAAAATAAGAAATTATTTTTCTTTGTTCCTCCTGATAATATTTTAAAATATCACGTTGACAGGTTTGACGAGAAAATTTTGTAAATGCAGGATAAAAATCATCTCTAAACAAATCTTCAAATTCATCATCTTGTACTAATTTAAAAGGCAGGTTTTTAAGAATAATAAACCTGATTACGCATTTCCTAGCTCGGGCAGCGTCATAATTCCAACTACCGAGAGTACCAGAAAAGGAGGATTGAGAAATCATAGACTGTCAGATATCACCTTGAAGATTCTAGCCTTTGTTGTGTTTTTCTATATGGCGTTTGAGATGGTTGATGCCGCTTTTATGATGAGCTTGGAAATCCTGGCCGCACAACGCATATTTTGTCTTCTGGGAGATGATCCTACCGTGTTCATCCTTGGTGACGTCTATGTTTGCGTCGAAAATTGATGTATTCATTGCGGTATTCATTACAACTTCAATTATTACAATGAAAACAAAAAAAGATTGTCTTTTTATAAGACTTTTACACAATGAAAACAAAAGTTACAACTCTCGTCAAAACAAACGCAGAGATCGTTTATCGGTCTTCTGCTTGCGTGGGATCTTTGCCTGTGCCGGGGTTTATCCGTGGACCGCCTTAGATCTGGATCCGGTTGATGGAAAATTCGGCAGAGCTTCGCCTTCGTCGAGGAAGTATTTGATTTGAAGCGCTGAGATCGACCAAGCGAAATCAGGGCTCTTCTCGAGATTAAGACCAAGCCTAATCTCAAGGGACGGACGGGAACGGGCGTCGGATCTCTCGAACTCTCCTTCTTTATGCCGAAGAACTCGCCAAGATCTGTCAACCCTCGCTGAAATTCGTGCTCCTTTGACTCCACAATCCGGCAGCACCTCCTCGTCTTGATAATCAATCGCCCCTCAGAAATGAGCACCCGAGCTCGTATTTATAAGCTTCAGAAGCGGTTATTTAGATGAGAACAAGTGATTTGGCTCTATCTTCAGTTAACAACAGCCTAACCACGTTTGGGGATGATATCAGGTCAGTTAGAAACCCCTGGAACCAACAAATCTCGAGAAAAAACCATCCAAAACCGAACCGGGACGAAACAGTGCGCGCAGGACAAGTCTGACCCGCGCTTGCGCGGGTCGGCGCGATCCGACCCGCGCGAGCGCGGGTCGGACTTGGCCGAAACCGTTAAAACCGTCGAAATACACATCAGGAGGTCAAAACAGCGCGGCAGACTGGTCTGACACGCGCTTGCGCGGGTCGGACTTGGCCGACCCGCGCCATCGCGGGTCGGACTTGGCCGACCCGCGCGGGCGCGGGTCGACGCGGTCCGACCCGCGCGGACGCGGTGTTTCGAATTTTTGCTGAGCTCTGGTGTTTTCTGGTCTTTCCGGGACTTGTATTTTCTACCGTTTTGCGTAATTGATCGTCTTGTTGACTTGTACGCTTCGTTGCAGAATTGACCGTCGAACGCGTGTTGATTGACGCACGCGTGTTGATTGACGCGTGCGGTCCACTTGGTGTTTTCCATTGCGGTGGTTCGTTGTCGTGTCATCAACAGTTTGCCGATTCGCTTCATGCGCTTGTCGGCGTTGGATAATCCTCTTTGATTCGGATAACGGCGTTCATCACCTTCTCTTTGTCTTGAGCTGTGTGCGGGCACCCATAGGCATTTTTACACGCCTACAGATACCCCCCGGACACCTATAGGCATTTTTAGATGCCTACAGATACCCCCTCCAAAGTATTTCAGACTCTTTCTTTTATAGAGGAGTCTGGAATGCTTTGGATAAGATAGGCCATCTCCTCAATTTCGTAGAGTGATCTTGAACTATCTCAATTCTTAACTTCTTCAGTCTTCAATCTATTCATTGTTTTGTCGAATAGGTGAAGTTCTTCCGGCGCTGCGTTTATCGTCTGACCGCTGTCGAAATCTTGAACTGAGATTGGTGTGTAACTTTCTTAACTTAGCTCGTGCCATTGAGTTGACTTTGAACTAATCCTCTCCATCGGGAATTCATATCTGATTGTAACTGAAATCCTTGGAGTCATCTTTTGCCTTATTTTGGCGAAATTGCTGATGCGTTGACCGATATCGATCTTTACTGTAACGCGTTGACCGGCGTTAACACAGTTTATACTCGTACGTTTGCTGGAGTCTACATAGTTTAAGCTCTTAAGGCATTGGAGCGTAACGGTCCCGAATGTTGGGCTGCAGGACCAACTATTAAAGCTGATTCATCTGCACGTGTGGATCTTATCCTGAAGTTTGTTGGATGTTTAAGTCACGCGACCAACTAATGAAGCTGATACGTCAATGACTCGCACTTATAGAATTTTTGGCAAATTCTCAGCCATCAACGGGTTTGATGAGCCTTTACCGACTACCGTTTGAGTCGGGCTAGCATGCGGATTGTTTAAGTCCGTTCCACATGTGACGTTAAGCTAAAAGAGTTAACCCTTTTAGTGCTACGATATTGAATACGTAGACTTCGTCTTTCTCACGGGAATAGACTACCCGGCAACGCGTGTTAGGCGCTGACTTATCCTTACTTAGGATTCAGGATAAAAATCCACAGACTCGGATTCTGGTGCCTTTTTCAATCGGTAAAAGACTAAACCGGCAACGCGTGTTAGGCGTTGACTTATCCCTGCTTAGGCTGCGGGATAAACTTCCCCGTGCGTGTGAAGCCCGGATTTTGGCGTTATTAATAACAACCTGCCACAATATCGAATATGTGGGCTTTTGTCCTTTTTACGGTCAAAGACTAACCGGCGATGCGTGTTAGACATAGACTTTGGGATTTTTGGCAAACCCCCAGCCATCAACGGGTTTGACGTGCCTTTACCGATTACCGTTTGAATCGGGCTAGCATGT